TGGGATTTTTTTAAAGTGAAAAAGCTCAATTACCTAACTTTCAGCTGTCGGTCACCAAGCAATAACGTTAATGGAAACGTAGTATCTATAGGTGTTCATGAATTATTTACCAAAAAATCATTACAATGCTGCATTAAAATACTAATTAGTAAATATCTACCAATAAAATTAATTTCTGGTTATATTGACTAATTGCGTCGAGGAGCAGGACCACTGTGCAATAAATTTGCTACAATAATTAAATTTAGACCAACAAATATAATTCAAACAGATTAATTTTTATGCAACGTGGTTTGATTAAAAGCAACTGTTTTTCACATATGCAATTTAACGTTTGCAGATAACTGCACTTTCTCAACATTATAAAACACGTAAATATCTACAGTATTGGAAAACAAGTACACGCTAGGAAGTAATAAATCACAAAGCGGTTTAAAGTCTGGATCGGAGGCACATTCTACAAAAACTATTTGCGTTCTCTATTGTTTGCCGTCACAGCTTTGACAATGTAGGATACCCGAGAAATAAAAAGGATCTGAACAAATGCATCTTTGTCGCTTTATTCGTTTTGGCTCGTACAGATAACACTTCGCGTATTTCGATACGGATTCTGTCATGAATCAACCTGATTTTGGTAAGCTACTTTTTCTGTACTTTCGTTATTGGAAATACCAGATGTAAGCAACAGTGTTCATACGCATTTGTTTTTAAATAAATTTAATTGTGTCGCAATGAATGCTATTTTACATGTGACCAATTTAAACAGTGTTATAGATTGTAAAGCATCAATTTCAAAGATGGAAATTTTACATAAATTGTTATGTAAATGTAATGCTGTCTTAAAGGCTTATCAATAATCAAGTGGCTAAATTCTCTTTGTATATAGCCAATCAAATAGGAGCAAAAGAAAAGCGAAAAGAGGAACAAACTGAAAATCAATCTCAACAAATTAACTTGGAAAGATATATTATCAGATTGTTCCTGTTTAGGTCAATTGAATTACTGTATCGTTCGTATATTTTTATTGCTAATGTGAAGCCATAACAACAGCAGTATTTAAAAGGTAGCATTTTTGATTGATATTGTAGCAAAAATTATCTATATATAAGCCACACAAAGATCGTCTCTGAAAACTGTTGTGGTAAAAAATGAAAAAATGTAATACTTGTTTAGGGAGCGCACTTTTATCAATCAGACCTTCAAACTGATCAATTGATAATCTCTATGACTTTCTGAAAATTAAAAAAAAAATACTTTGCCATAACTTGTTATGGCATATAATTATATTGATCTGCAGAAATAAGAAAAGTAAAAATAAATAAACCAACTTTTGAGACAAAGAACAAAATGATGCTATTTGCCATTGAAATGGCATATATTAATTTTTCAACATAAACAGAACAGTATGCTTATTAAATATTTCATGACGCTCCATAAATAGCTTTTTTAACGTATCAGCATACTCCGGTTGTTGTCGAATAAAGCAATTAATGTTCGTATGTTTGTCCAATTAATCGTCCTTATACCTCGTATTATTTGCTCGACCCCAAATGAAATTGTGCCAAAGGAGCATAAATAAAAGTGGATGTCAGACTAATTTAAACAACAAGCGTTCTAAATTGTTTTTCTTGTTATCCGGAAAAGTCAGCTAATAACTGCCCCAAAACCTCGTCTGCGTTTAGTACAAAATATCGTCCTAGTAATATTATGGCATGTTGAAGTATAATTTCCATCAAAATCAATGTATACTCGCATAATAAAAACATAACATGCTAATTAATTTTTACAGCGAAAAATCATTAGCCGCGCTGATGACAGATTATCGGAGCTTTTAAACTCTCTGATGGGGACGCCGGGTCTATTTTTCAATATATTATACAAAAAGAAATTTAAAAAAGTCTGGCAGCTTTGTGACTTTAGTGTGAAAAATTATGAAGAAATATAACAAGTAAGTACACGTAATAAGTGCCATCATTTATATTTGCACACAATGCGAATCCTAACAATGTATAAACAGTTATATCCCCATCTTACTGGAATAATTCTGCGAATATATAAAAAATAAACTAAATTAATTGAGTTATTCTTATTTCCAAGAGAATTATTTTACTAAATTAATTTTAAGTGTTATAATTGTAAATTTTGTTGCATATTTATTGAAACAACCGAAAGCTGGGAAAAAATAAGGAATAAAACAAGAAAACGGGTTATTCACTCAAGGAATGTGATTTTTCACGTGCGAAATATTATAATACACTATCTGTAATAAAAGATAAATTGCACACAATCACATCCATTCTTGCGCTACACCCAATGCAAAATAAATCATAGTTTTATCTATTTATTTTCAACTACATTTAGTATTTTCTAAAAATTCTGATAAGACTTTCCAGTTTTAAATTTAGTTTAGAGAGAAACGAAACTGATGGCTATTGCAATACATGAAATCAAGCGATTTTACATTGAATAAAGCATATGTGATAAAAAAGCATTTTATTTAGACGAAGTTTGCAAACTTTTTTTAAACTTTTGATCAAAAACGTGGAAGCCGTTCCAAACACTTCCAAATATTTCTTTTATGTTTTATCGAATGTTTATAAAATTTGCCGCTTACTGAATCTTAATGGAAAAAAATTGTTAAATTAAAGTTAGGTCGAACAAAAGAACGCTGGCCTTTCCATTTTGTGGACGCATCTAAAATAGCTTTAGAAAAAACTCCCTGCCATTTATAAAATTTAGAAACTAGCTATTGAACTTAAGTAGATGTTTTGATGAAAATGTATTTAATCTAAAGGTACAGCGGCACAGTTATTTCACGAAATGTAATTTCAAGCATAAAATTGGCGAAACTTAAGTCAACTTCGAGTATCCCTGAAACGAAGAAAAATAGTAAGTCGTCATTTGAGATAAAATGTTTTACGTCATCTTTCGACGTCAACCAACTCTTCCATTGATTTTAAAATAAGAAAAATACTGCCTTTGGAAATTTATGCTTTTCAATTATGCGAAAATTCGACTGATTGACTAAATAAAAACTGCTGCAGTTTCAACTTTAGAAACATTTGCAACCAGTGGTTTCAATAGTAGTATCTCCTTAGGAAAATCCCTATAAAAGTGCGTAATTATGACAACGGAATATTGCGGTTTTTTCAGGTAGAAATTTGACTGTGCTGAGTAAAAATGCAAAGTGCAAAGTGTGCAAACGAAAGTCGAGCTTATTTCATGCGTTAAAACTAAAAAAGCCCTTTTAATAATTCCGGGTCAAAAAACTTTTCAGGTGAACATTAATAAATATATAATATTGCTTTAGTAACGAATCACTATACTTAATGGAACTCTGTTAGTAAGAAATCATGTGGTTACCTGCTAGTTTCGTCGTTTTTCCGATATGGCAATATATTATTTTAAACCGTAATTTCCAGCGCCATGTATTTTACATTCGAACTTTCGACTGGTTGTAAGTCATCACAGAATTATATGGCCATTTCCACCGATCTAGTACAAGCTAGACCGACTTTGTCAACTCAGCATATATTATCCTATTTAAACGGCCACAGTTGCGCATGTAGTTAGTCATTAAGATAACCTGCTTGGTGTACGTTCGATGTAATTTCGTCATTTTTAAAATAAGGTTTTTTAAACACCGAAGTTGCATTTTAAAGAACAAAATTGGCGCAGTCGGTAGGATTCTTCCGGGTGTGAATAAAAGTTCAATAATTAGTGAAAAGTTCGAAGTTCGTGAGTTGAAGTTCGGAAGTTCATAATTGGATCAAGTAGCACCCTCTATGTCAACAGTCAAGGAAGAATTCCGAAGAAAAACCAACGCAACGCATCTGGTGACTCCTGGCAAACATCGCTTTCTGGTTCGCCTCAACGAAAGAAGCCAGACAGGACATATTAGCCGTGCTAGTGTCCACTACAAGAAGTACTACCCTGGATAGTGAATCTACCTAGCAACGTACAGCTTGATACAGGACGAAATACTGGGAGACAAACTGTGAGTCAGTAATTTCCTATAGTTGATGTACCTGTTAATTAGGGATGAAAAGTAAATGAAGAAATTTACGCATAAATCTAAAGTATTAGAAGATATATCGTATCCAAAACGAAAAATTAATTCTAATCAAGCTTCGACTTCGAGTTTAACTAGTTTATATTCAGAAATTTCTACAAATTTCCCACTTCAATTAGAACAA